GGAAGGCCCTCTATGAGGTGGATTGATTCAGTGACTGGGATAATTGGGATGGGAGTGTCAGAGACAGTGTGATTGGCACAGGACAGAGCAGAGTATAGGGCAAGCGACTCGACGGCACATAACAACAACAACACCCTACCCTATCCCATCCCATCCCATCCCATCCCATCCACAGTCTAAAACAGGTTGGTCACCTAACATCCAGACTTTGAAGGAGTCTTTACAAAAGGCTTGCTCTTTATGAGAACATTTCTTTGAGTGACAAAATGAGGGCTGTTTTTCTGGTAGAATTTCTACTCTGACAGGTAGTATTAAGTGCAAAGAAGATCTTGGATCGAGGTTGATTTTCTGACAAAAATATGTTTTACCCAAAACTCATGACATAGGAGATGCCTGACTGTTAATATACTAAAACTGCCCCTGGTAGCGGTAGCTGCTCAGTGTTTGCTAAATCCAGCAATGTTGGGAGAGTAGGAAAGTTGCCCATGGTTTTTCCCTTATAAAAACTGTATTCAGGTTTGAAGAGTCACATTTAAAAAAAAAAGAAAGAAAGAAATATTTTAGGGAGCTATGATGGCCTAGTGGCAAGAAGCTGCACTGCAATCCCAGAAGTATGTTGTTCAAATCCACCAGATGGTCTGCTGGAGAAGGAGGGGCAATCTCCTCCTGTCCCAGTCAGATCAGATTTGATGGTATGCACACACACACACAAAATAATTAAAAAATATTTTTAGGATTTTGAAGCTCCATCACACATACTTTGGGCCCATGGCCAGGAGAGACCAGTCCTTGGAGAAGGACATCATGCTTGGAAGGGTGGAAGAAGAGAGCAGGAGAGGGAGACCTCAGATGAGATGGATTAATACAGTGACTGGGGTAGTGGGAGTTGGTGTGTTGGAATTCATGAGACTGACTCAGGACAGGGAAGGGTTCAGAGCTGCTGTACATAGGGTTGCTAAAGTCAATGGTACATAACAACAAAAACATACTATATTGGTTGTTTTTTATTTAAGCCTCGTGTTTAGAGTCAACAAGACTTTGGGGAGGGTTTTTGTATTTAAAAGTTGGTTATTTTAATTAATAAAAAAGTTAAAAAGTTGGTTATTATTTTGGAGGAACATTCTTCTAAGTGGTATAGCACTCTTCTGCCAATCTGCTGTACTGAGGTAACCTGGGGTTGCTGTGATGAGGAACCTTGTGCCATTAGGGTGTAAAATGCCTTAACGGAGGGGAGCTCTGGTGGCCTAGTGGCAAGAAGCTGCACTGCAATCCCAGAGGAACACGGTTCGAATCCACCAGATGCTCTGCCGGAGAAGGAGGCGCAATATCCTCCTGTACCAGTCAGATCTGATTTGACGGTACACGCACACAAAATAATAAAAAATTAAAAAAAAATGCCTTAACGGTTACCCATAGTGGACAGTGTCCGGTGCAACATTCAGTTTAAGACAGATTTGGAAGCAGAAATGGCTTCCACTTTCTAAACAACATGCCTCTGGAAACTATGAATTTTGATAAATGACGACAGTTATAGAGAAGCTTCAGGCCTTTTGTTCATAGGGTTCGCTATGAATCCTGCTCACCTCGATGGCAAGCAACAAAAACAACAGCCCCGTAGCCCTCTAGAAAATGGTAAGTTAAAGTGTGCAGAGCGTGAGCGGCCTCGTGGGTCAGGAGCTGTGCTGCCAATCCAAAGGCAAGTGACTCAAATCTACCACTTTTCCTGAGGGAGAAAGATGGGGAATCTCTTCCCATGCAGTTTGCAGCCTTGGAAAACCCTCTGGAGAGTCAGCTATGAGTTGGTCCCAACTTGATGTAAGTTAAGGGGTTTTTTTTGGTGTTGATTTTTTTGTTGTGTTTGTTGTTTTGTCTGTTTCTTTAATATGGAATGTTTCAGGTATTTGTGCATCATCCTTGCGCAGGGGCCATGCTAATCTTCTCTGTATCGTTCCAATCTTAGTATATGTGCTGCCGAAACGAGCACAATAATTTTTTTTTCCAGTATTGGTCTCTCTTTTTTTTTCACAATAATTTTTTTTAAAATGTGCTTCAGATTGTAAATGGCAAACACAGCACTGGTCACTGCGCTTGAATTCTCACTTTGATAGACCCAGAGGTCACAAACTCTGATGCTTTTAGGGGCCAGCAAGGTAATGGAGATGCTTAAAGCAGGCTTCACTCAGCTCCTGCTCATTGTTGTCTAATGGGACTGTGGGCTCAAGTGAAAAAAATGTTTTTATGTATGGTCAGAAACCAGATTCATTTGTGAAATCTCCCCATTTTTCAGTGCTGGCACCTTTCTCTTAAAAATTTTTAAATATCACGCCGCATAAATAAAACAAGCATGGGCCATGTGACTTCTGATCCAACCTTTCTGCTCTCCCCAAGGATCCCAGCAACAGATCTTTTTCTAATTAGATGTCGAAGGTTCTCACATGTATGTATTTTAATACTTAAATAGATCTTCTCCTTTAGCTAAAAAATCGAAAACAATTACAACAGGCCAAGAATAGCCATTCTAAGAAAAATGCTGTCAGTAAATACATGTGCCTCAGAGTGAAGTACAGAAGATTAATTCATATTTCACAACTTGATCCCCACGTTTTAGGCTAGCACCCAGCAGGGTGCAGAGCAAGAGCCCATGAGCACCTCCCTCCACTTCTGGCTTTGGCATAGAAAGGGCCACACTGCTTTTCCCCCTCAAGCCTCTCCATTCTTCATTTCGTACAGTGGACAGAGCGATTTTTCTATGCATGGTCTCAAATGAAAACTACGTCATTAAAAAGCTGTATTTGATTTTTCATGTGGAAAGTTACAAAGGAAGTGAAAACGAAGTGTGAGAAGGTAGCAGGTATGTGTGTGTGACCTCTGCCTCTCTCCGACGCCTACCATGGTCAAAGCCCAACGGGCAGTCCCTCTTGCCAGCTAGCCCCCAGTTCCAGTCAGAGGTCTTCCCAGTCTCCACTGGAGACTAACCTTTCTGAAATTTGAAAAAAATAAGAAATTTGGCCTTTGGTGTCATAGAAAGAGACTCCCCCAGATCAGAAAGTATTTAAACAGAGATTTACAGATGGTTCGTTAGTAGTTTTGGTTTTGGCTTTGTTTTTCATTTTTGTTTTTGGTGTTCTTTTTAAAAAGCCAACTATGATCCCACTAATGTATTTCTGAAGAAAATGTACACTGTTCATACATTCTCTTAAACATCACAGTGGAAAACAAAAAGTACCCGTATGTGTGACAGAGCAGGCAGAGGGCTCCCCTTGCCCTGTCCTTGGCAAAGGCCCTTGGCCAGCTTTGCCTCTGCATGGTTACCCATATCGTGCCATCCCATGGGAGCACCAGTGGGCCCCAAAGGCAGGACAGGGCAGGGAGAGAGATCTTTTGAAATGTTTCGAGGAGCTCTGTCCAGCTGTATTTGTTCATCTTCCATCCCAGAAGTGTGTATAAAGCTACAAGGACACTGATGAGATCATGGTTCTGCTGCCATTTCCCAGAGAAGACTTGGCTTGGAGCATGGCTGCCTGGATTCGAAAATGTGTCCTAGACTCCATGGAGTAATTCTTGTAGTTTTGCCTGGAAGAAAGAAGAGAATCAGACATATGCAGCTGCTTTTACTTCAGTCTCAGCTGAAGGAACCCATCAGCCAAGGAAAGCTCTTAAGGCTCAGCCCCTTATCTGGACCCAAAGAAAGGGTTAGGCTCTACCCAACAACAAGATTAGCAGAAGGAGCACGTGGCCCCTCAGTCCTGGTGCCACACTCTCTGGAATCACTCTTGGCCTCACTGAATCTTTGAGCTTGAGGAGGTGGTTTGGCGAGGCAGGATTCTGAGCTAGAAAGCAGGAGGCTTATAACATCAGCCTCACGGCTGACTTGTGGTGTGACCATGGGCGACTCACTTCCTCCCCTGAGATACCAGTTCCTCAACAGTAAATTGAAAGAGAAGCCTCCCCACCTCTGAGGTGCTCCTTGCCCCTGGCCAGCCACATGGCCCACACCGCACCTGCCACACTGTTCTTGGAAGCACCCCATTCACTGTGGCCTGGCCTCCTCTGCTCCAAACAACGGGGTGAAGCTGAACACAGGAGGGTGCAGAGGACAGGAGGAGGCTCCAGCAGTCTTACTTGGCAGTTTCCAACAGTTTGATGGCCTCTTCATGTCTGTCTTGTTCCATAAACAGTAGGGCCAGCTCCAAAAGGGCATTTGGGATCAAATAATGGTCATATTTAATCTTCTTTTCACTGCAGGACAAAAGACATGGCTCAAAGGCCCTGACCGAGACACCCTTCTGGCTCCTCCTGACCCTTCCGAGAGAGTAGGAGTGCCAACCCACGTACACATGCAGGGTTTCCTGATCTGAGTTCCAGCCGGGGAAGTTTCCCACTGCCTGGCGCTACCACAAATACTGAGACAACAATACAGGAGGCTAGAATCCCCAGCAAAGCCCTCTGCTCCTCTGGACTTGGAGTCTCAAGTCCTTGACAGTGATAGCTCAAGTCCTGTTCTCAGTCCACCCCACCTTAGTCCTCTAAGTTCCTTTGCTCCAGATTGGATGACATTATGTGCCAACTCTTGGCACCCGATGAACACAGATCTGAACTTTGCCCTTGTCCTGTGCCATCCTTACTATCTCCACCATCATACTCAAGCCCACTTTGTCATGACTGTGTCAATTCATCTAGTTGAGAGTCTTCCTCTCTTTTGCTGACCTTTCTCAGCATGTTGCATTATTCCAGAGACTGGCCCTTCTGACAACATGCCCAAAGTATGTGAGCGGAAGTATTACCATCCTTGCTTCCAAGGAGCACTCTGGTTGCACTTCCTCTAGGATAGATTTGTCCTTTTGGCAATCCATAGAATTTTCAATACTCTTCGTCAACACCACAATGCAAAGGAATAATTTGTCCAGCTTTCAAATACATAGGAAGCAACTGAAATACTATGACTTGGGTCAGGTGTGCCTTGGTCTTCAAAATTACATCTTCACACTTTAAAGAGGTCCTTGACAGCAGATTTCCCCAGTGCAACATAGCTTTTGATTTCTTGACTGCTGTTACATAGGTGTTGTCAAGAACCTCTCTAAAGTGCTAAAGAGCAAGGATATCAGTTTAAAGACTAAGGTGCACCCAATCCAAGCCATGATATTTTCAGTTGCTTCCTACAGATCTGAAAGTTAGACAGTGAATAAGAAAGATTCTCAAGAAGACGAATGTTAACAGTGAGCTTGAGCGTAGCCGAGAGAGTGAAGATGGTGCAGGATGAGGCAGGGTTCCAACCTGTTGTTCACAGGGTCACTGGGAGTTGTAGTCAACAGTCTTAACAACAACTTGCTTTCCCTAATTCATATGTCACCTCTAAGAAGCCTTTCCTGGTCCCTTCTGTCACGGTTAGGTCCCTCTGCTTTCCTCTGGCACAGGGTTAATCATACTACATCAGATTGTCTAGATATTGTGGGGAGCTCTTGCGGCATACGGAGTCAGGAGAGCAGAGAGCTCCCCTGCTAACCCAAAGACTGCCCTGCTTTGGTTGTTTGAATCCACCAGCCACTCTGAGGGAGAAAGATCAGCAGTTTCGTCCTGGGCAGCTTACGGCCTTGGACACCCAATGGAAGAGCAGCTCTGAGCTGGGACTGACTGGACAGCAATGTGAAGTCCAGTGGAACATTTGAGCTCCTCAAGGGCAAGGCCAGGCTCACTGCACTGCAAACTGAGGGGCCACCACTCCCACGAATGTGGGATGGTCAGTGGGGACGGATTCCTTGCAGTTGAGCAACTTGCTGACCCTGGTCCCAGGTGTGGATCATCTGTGGCCCTGTGTCCAGCTCAGGCCCTGGCCCGGCTTCAGCATGAGTGTATGTGGTGAATGGGGGAGGTGCAGCGTCAGGCTCTGCTGGCATGAAGAGGAGAAGCCTCAAAATTCTACCAGAGATCCCAGGTCCCGGTGTAGACCATGCAGAGTGGGTGCAAACACACAGGCACTTACTTGGCAGAAATGCTCCTGAAATTCTCCTCGGCCTCATAGACGCGGCCCAGGTATTTCAGACATAGGCCTTTCAGCAGTTTCACCAAGCACTCGTCGTCCACCGAGTACTCGTTCTCTGAAAACAGGACAGGACAGGCATGTCAACTTCTCCCTTGTTCATGACAGCTGCTATCTGTACGGAGCCCAGGGACAGGGAGATGGTGCCTGTCCTCAGTGAGCTCACATCTGGGAAGGAAAGACAGCTACTGAGACAGCGAGCTCACGACCTGCTAAGGGGAGCTGAGGGGCTGTGAGAGCCCAGAGGAGGCTACTGGCCCCACCTGGGAGACAAGGCACAGGTTCCTGTAAGAACCGGTGTTCAATGTGGTTAGAAAGATGAAGTGGGGAGGGGCATATTTGAAAGAGGAAACTTTCAATGGTAAACTGAAATCAGACCCAGCCTGGCCAGTTTAAGGTCATCACCTGGGCCCTTTTCCAGCATCTCTTCGGCCTGTCGGATAATCTCCAGTATCCCCTCTGTGAGTTCTCGCTGCTTCCCAATTACAGCATAGCCATTCCAGATATACATCATTTCCTATAGGCAGAGAACAAGCAGTTCGGTGACTCCCCAGTAGGACTGTCTGCGATGGCCGTTCTTGCCCCATCACCCCACCCCCAGAGGGCAGCAAGTCCTCAGAGGCAGGGGATGGCCCCAGTTCTCCCCAGGCTCCTGAGAAGGTCTCTCCCTCCTCCCCCAGCTCCCCACAGCCTGTGACTTTCATCTGTACTCTCGGTTGATCGCACAGCCCCAGCCCCAGCTCTACCCACCAGAGCAGGGACAGGTAATGAGATAGGGTTGGGGGAGAGGTAGCGTCTGGCTTTCCGGATGGCAAACTTCTCTGTGGGGAGAGACTTTCCAGCAATCTTGAGTTTCAGGCCTGGCACAGCTCTGTGAAATGAATGGGACGTGTGGGAAGACAAGGAGAGGGGAGGGGGAAAAAAGGAAGTGAAGATTAAGCCATGGCTTCCCCATGTATATGAAAATCTAGAGAACTTTCCAGGTCAGAAACAGGACCTGTGGCCATGGCCTTACTTCACAGCCCTGCCCCAGGGCCTGGCCACTTCCTGTGACTGGGCCAACAGAACCCCCCCCCCCCCCAGCAGGCTGAGGTGAATGTGACCTGCTTTGCACCCAGACTGTCTCTCTTCTACTCTCAGGGCCCATTTCCAGGCAGGGCCCCGGGGTGGGGGGCAGAGGCGGGGAGGCCACTGCCCAGAGGAGAGGTAGGGCACTACCAAGACGGCACAGCTCAACCCTTCATTAACAATTACCACATGAGCTGTGGCCTCCTCAGTAGTTTCTGAGGGCAAAGCAAAGTGTGTGCAGTGAGGTGAGCCTCCTCATCTGGGTCCTCGCCCACTGGGCTCTGTCACCAGCCTCGGATTCCTGCCACAGTCACAGAGGGTGGAGGAGGGATGTGTTGCGGCCTTGAGCCTGAACTGTCAAGGCCCAAGAAACAGCTGTCATTTCCCCCAACCCTCTGCCTATTTATTCACTGTGAAACCTCTATGGGCCTCAGTTTTCTCATCTCTAAAATGGAGAGAATGAGGTCTATTTCTTTGCAGGTTTCTTCAGAGGAAGAACAGCATTCTTGCCACGCAGCAGGTGACAGCAGAAGATAAACATCCTATTTTGACAGTAGGTGCCCAGGAAGCACAGGTTACACCCACTTCCAGGTTGGAGAAATATGGCCAACCCTCATCATGCCTGGAGGAAGGCTCTGGGCCTCTCTCCATGTACCCAGGCTGAACACTGTCTCCAGAGGCCCCTGTTCTAACAGCCCTTCTCAGGAGGCAAACATGGCCGCATAGATAAGAATAAAAAACAGCCACAAATAAGCTCTAGACTCTCTCAGGCTTTTTACATACATCATCTACCTCATTTTACCTACAAGATCAGGACTGTTATTCTAGTGTAAGAGATGCTGAGACGGTCCAAGGTGACACGCTAAGAAGTTGGATTTAACCCTGTTTTGTTTGATTTCGGCTCTTGGACGCTACTGTGTTGATTTGAGTTTATCAAGTTAACTCAGTAGAATGGTAAGGGCCTTCTCCTTTCTCGACCTCACTGTCCACCTCTGCTCCTGACCGGGTGAAGAGAATCTGTGGGAGGACGCTGACAAAAACCACTTTGTGAGAGGAAGTGTGAAAAGACTCCAAGGGTTCTTCCAAGAGTGGCTCCAAGAGCATGAGGTGGTGATGGGAGGGAATGGCATTCATGGACGATCCTGGGGGTCAGGGAACTACCCACCATGCCCCTTCCTGGAGGGGTGCCTGTGTTCATAGCCTGGCTGGGCTGACCGCATTGGAAGCCTGTGAGAGGGGGTGCCATGGTGGTACCTACCTAAACAGCTCGACTTCGTCATCCCCAAATGGTTTGTGGTCCTCCTTCCCAAACATGCTGAGGTAGGCGGCCTTCATGTAGATGTAGGTGGCCTGTGTAAGACACAGCAACAGCCAGGCGTGAGCAGCTTTCCCACCTCTTAACCTCTTATGAGCATCTTAGTTGGACCTCGCAATAGCCCAGCATAGGAGTTAACATTATCTTCAATTCCAGAAGAGAAACAAAGGGTGTAGAAGTTGAAGACACTTGAGAAATTCCTAGCAGGACTAGGAGATAAATACACCTACACCAAAACACTTGCTCTGTCTACTCTGAAGGAAAGAAAGGCCCAAGCAAGTTGAACACGGGTATGATACACTGGGGGGGGGGGGGGGGGGAGAAACAAAGGAGGAATTGGAGCAACAGAGACAGGAAGAACACTTAAAACAGGAAGAAATTCTGGGAAGGGGCAGTTGCAGAACCCCCCCATAAAGGACAATAAGATTCACAGGGACATGTGGACACACACACACACACACACCCGCCCAGCTAGGGGAACAGCCTGAGCAAAGTCAGCATCAGGGAAGTGTGTAGGTAGCAGCCCAGGGTATCTGAGGTGTGAGGTCAGAAAGGAAGATGGGGCCCTGAGTCAGGCTGACTCAGGCATCTATGGTGTAACCTCCTTAATGATGCCAGACACTTTACATACGTCACCTCACTTCCTCCCAAAGATGACAGAAAAGAATTTGTACCCCACCTCTGCCCTCCAAAGTTGACCAAAGTTTTGTGTCCCTTCCAGACAAGGCCTTGACCTCCAGTCCACAGCCACCTCTGACTAGATGAGGCTGTACAGGATACTCTCACCTGAATGCCATCCCCAAATGCCACCCCGTTCTCCAAGGGTCGTTGAATGGTGCAAATGTTCAATAAGCTTGGTTGCTAACTGAAAGGCTGGGGGTTCGAATCTACCCAAGAGGTACCAGACAGTACAGTTCCCATGAAGCACAGCTCTACTTGGACACCTGGGTCAGCATGAGTCAGAATCAAGTGGAAGGCAACTGCTTTTCTTCGGACCAAAAAGGAGTTTATCTGCTCATTTCCGTTGCTATATTATTCGAATCATTGTGCGAATGCACTGCAGCTGATTTACCATTCTACCTTTTTTAAAAAATTGGTTTGCACTAAAACCAACTCAAAATGGATCATGGATCTAGGGCTAAAACCAAGGACTATAAATTTCATTAAAGAAACGCTTGAAAGAACTCTAGAAGTCCTAATCCACAATATAAACTGTCTTCCAAGCATCCTGAAAAATCTACAAACAGGAGAGGATAAAATAGATGAATGGGACCTTCTAAGAATCAAATCCCTATGCATATTCAAAAACTTCTCCATCAGAATAAAAAGGGAATGCACAGATAGGGGAAAAATAATTGGTAATGACATGTCAGATAAGGGACTTATATCTAGAATTTACAAAATACTCGAGCACCACAACAAGATAAAGGTAAATAATCCAGTGGAAAAATGGGCACAAGATATGAACAGACACTTCACCAAAGAAGACATTCAGTTCACCAAAGAAGACATTCAGATGGCCAACAAGCACATGAAGAAATGTTCAAAATCCCTAGCTCTCAGAGAGATGCAAATCAAAACAACTATGAGATATCATCTCACTCCAATCAGGATAGCAAAATTTAACAGAGCAGAAAGCATCAAATGCTGGCGAGGATGTGGAGAAATTGGAACCCTTATTCAGTGTTGACAGGAGTGTAAAATGGTGCAACCACTATGGTAGGCTGTGTGGTGCTCTCTCTAAAAGTTGCAAACAGAAATACCATTTGACCCAGCAATTCCACTACTGGGAACATACCCCAAAGAGACCATAACTGACATCAAGCAGATATATGCACACCCATGTTTACTGAAGCTTTGTTCAAAATAGCAAAGAGTTGGAAACACTGTAAGTGCCCATCAACAAATGAATGGAGAGAAGCTGTGGTATATTCACAAAATGGAATACTATGCTGCATTGAAAAGCAAGAAACTAATGAAATATTATTCAAAATGGGCGACCCTAGAGGTCATTATGCTTATTGAATTATCTCAGTCACAAAAGACCAAATAGTGCATATTGCCACGGTTGTAGAACGGGACTGACATCAGGGTTGGGGTGAGACTGAGAAAGATTGAATAAATTGTATATGTTGTTGTTTAATGCCGTCAAGTCGTAGACGACTCATAGCAACCCTATGAACGAACAGCCTGAGCACTGTTTGTACATAGAGTTTCCAGAGGCAAGCCATTTTGGAAGTGGATGCGCTCCTGCTTCCAAAATTGTATATACTACATAGAAACAGATGAGGGAGAGAACTGTTTAAAAGAGATATATGATTGGGTATTATGGTTATGACAAGAGTCCAGAATGAAGGTTGCACAGTGGAGTATACTCAGGGCGGGGGACTCTATACCAATGAAAGAATTTTTCTTTTACTTTTCAAAGAGAAGAGTGAACTGCGGGAGGAGGGGTGGGCAGGGAGAAAAGTGCAACAATGAATGAATGGAAATCCAAAGTCTCTGTAAATGTTCACTAAAATTAATAATAAAAAATAT